GTGTTTTTGGGGTGTTCTGGGTGCTGTTACCCGTGGCGTTGTTGCGGTGCCCCTTGTAGCGCCGGCTGTGCTGGGCTGTTCATGGTTTGGGTGTTTATGGGGATATTCTGGGGCTGATTTTGGGGATATTTTGGGATGGATTTGGGGCTGGTTTGGGGCTGGTTTGGGGGTATTTTGGGGTGTTTCTGGGGTGTTCTGGGTGCTGTTACCCGTGGCGTTGTTGCGGTGCCCCTTGTAGCGCCGGCTGTACTGCGCGCCGTCGCTGTGCGCCGAGTCGAACAGGTAAATGTCCTCATCGTTGTAGGAGGCCAAGAGCTCTGGAATGGGGAGAAACATCGGGAAATTGGGAAAAACAGGGGTGAAACGGCAGGAAAATGGGGGGAGACAGAAGGAAAATGGGGAAAAATAGAAAGAAAATGGGAAAAACGGGAAGAAAATGGGGAAAAACGGAAAGAAAATGGGGAAAAACGGAAAGAAAATGGGGAAAAACGGAAAGAAAATGGGGGAAAAACAGAAAGAAAATGGGGAAAAACGGAAAGAAAATGGGGAGAAAACAGAAAGAAAATGGAGATAAATGGCAGAAAAATGGCAGAAAAACAGAAAGAAAATGGGGAAAACGGCAGGAAAATTGTGAAAAACAGGAAAATAAGAAAAAATAGAAGGAAATGGGGGAAAATGGGAGGAAATCAGGGTAAAACAGAGGAGAATCAGAGAAAAACGCCAGGGAAATAGGAAAAAACAGTAGGAAAATGGGAAAAAACAGAAGGGAAATGGGGAAAATGGAAAAAGGGGAATAAACAGCAGGAAAGTGGGGAAAAAAGAAAGAAATGGGGAAAAAACAGAGGAGAAATGGGAAAAAAACAGCAGGGAAGTGAGGGAAAAAAAGAGGGAAATGGGGAAAAAACAGGAAAATGAGAAAAAAATGGGGGGAATCAAGAAAAACAGTGGGAAAATGGGAAAAAATGAGGAAAAAAACAGCAGGGAAAATGGGAAAAAAATGGGGAAAATTGGAAAAAGAGCAGGAAATTGAGAAAAAACAAGGAGAAAACAGGAAAAACCAGAAGGAATGGGGTAAAATAGGAGGGTCTGGAGCTCAGTTTTTTTTTTGAAGGGGAAATTATTTTTATTTTGGAGAAAATGGAATTTGGAGGGGGAAATCAGATTTTTTTGGGGGGGAAGAGGTGGTTTTTGAGGATAAATGGCTGGGGGTTTTGGGAAAATTGGTATTTTTTGGGAAAACCTGATTGTTTTGGTGGGAAATGAGGGGGGTTGAGGGTGTGAGACCCCCCCAGGATCCCCCAAATTCCCACCTGGACTCACCTGAGCCATCATGGCTGTAGACCAGGCAAGTGATGTTGGCTTTGGACTCGCTGTTCACCTGGAAAAATGGGAAAAATCTCAGATCCAGCCCCTTTTCCTGGGAATTCTGAGTGTTAAACTCCCAGACAAGGATGTAAGGAGGCAAAAAATTGGAATTTAAGGAGTAAAAACAAAAAAAAAAAGATATTTTTGTGAGATTTTTTGCCTTTTTCTAAGGGGTTTTCCAGGAAAAGGAGAAGCCACTTCCCATG